GATTTACAATAGCACACGAAAGTCATCTAAATAGGGGGTATGCGCTTCAGGGCTCGTTTGACCTTGAAAATGGGTCGGCCTGGACGTAATGGACAACTGGATGTAGATCCAAGGTATTGACAGACGTCCATAAAAAAATTTGACATTTTTGACATCGAAATACTGATCCCGCGAAAAATGGTTTGCTATAGCACACGAACATCATCTAAAGAGGGGGTATGCTCGCTTCGGGGATTGTTTGACCTTGAAAATGGGTCGGACTGGCCGTGATGGCCAACCGGCTGCATAGCCAAGGTCTTAAAGGACCTCCACAAAAAATTTTGGCATTTTGACGTCGGAATTCGGATCACCCAAAAAATGATTTGCGATAGCACACGAAAATCGTTAAAATGGGTGTATGTGCTTCAGGGCTCGTTTGACCTTTAAAATGGGTCGGACTCGCCGTAATGGACAATTGACTGCAGAGCCAAGGTCTTAACGAACGTCCATAAAAAATTTTGGCATTTTGATGTCGGAATCCAGATTACCAAAAAAATGGTTTTCTATAGCACATGAAAAATAATCTAAATAGGGGGTATGCGCGCTTCGAGGTTCGTTTGACATTGAAAATGGGTTGGACTGGCCATGATGTCCAACCGGATTCATAGCCATGGTCTTGACGGACGTCCACAAAATGTTTTGATATTTTTGACGTCGAAAACCAGATCACCCTAAAAATGGTTGGTTATATAGCACATGAAAATCGTCTATACGGGTTATGCGCTTCAATGATTATTTGACCTTGAAAATGAGTCAGACTGGCCGTGATGGCGAACCGGTTGCATAGACAAGGTCTTAAAGGACCTCCACAAAAAATTTTGGCATTTTTGACGTCGGAATTCGGATCACCCAAAAAATGATTTGCTATAGCACATGAAAATCGTTGAAATGGGTGTATGCGCTTCAGGGCTCGTTTGACCTTGAAAATGGGTCGGACTGGCCATAATGGCCAACTGGCTGCAGAGCTAAGTTCTTAAAGGACCTCCACAAAATTTTTTGGCATTTTTGTCGTTGGAATTCGGATCACCCACTATAGCACACGAAAATCATCTAAATAGGGGGTATGCGCTTCAGGGCTCGTTTGACCTTGAAAATGGGTCGGATTGACCGTAATGGCCAACTGGCTGCAGATCCAAGGTCTTGACGGACGTCCACAAAATATTTTGGCATTTTTGACGTCGAAATCTGGATCACCCAAAAAATGGTTTGCTTAGCACACGAAAATCATCTAAATAGCGGGTATGCGCGCTTCGGGGCTCGTTTGACATTGAAAATGGGTTGGATTGGCCACGTGGTCCAACCGGATGCATAGCCATGGTCTTGACGGACCTCCACAAAATTTTTTGGCATTTTTGACGTTGGAATCCAGATCACCCAAAATATGATTTGCTATAGCACACGAAAATCGTCTAAATGGGGGTATGCGCTTCAGGGATCGTTAACCTTGAAAATGGGTTGGACTTTCCGTGATGGCCAACCGGCTGCATAGCCAAGGTCATAAAGAACTTCGACAAAATTTTTTGGCATTTTTGACGTCAGAATTCGGATCACCCAAAAAATTGTTTGCTATAGCACACGATAATCGTTGAAATGAGTGTATGCGCTATAGAACTCGTTTGACCTTGAAAATGGGTCGGACTGGACGAGATGGACAACTGGCTGCATATCTAAGGTCTTGACGGACGTCCACAAAATTTTTTGCATTTTTGACGTCAGAATCCGTATCACCAAAAAATGGTTTGCTATAGCACACGAAAATCGTCAAAATGGGGGGTATGCTCGCTTCACGGCTCGTTTGACCTTCAAAATGGTCACACTATCCTTGAGGGCCAACCGGTTGCATAGACAAGGTCTTGACGGACGTCCACAAAATTTTTTGACATTTTTGACATCAGAATCTGGATCACCCAAAAAATGGTTTGCTATAGCACACAAAAGTCATCTAAATAGGGGGTATGCGCTTCAGGGCTCGTTTGACCTTGAAAATGGGTCGGACTGGCCGTAATGGCCAACTGGATGCAGAGCCAAGGTCTTGACGGACGTCCACAAAAAATTTTGCAATTTTTGACGTCGGAATCCGGATCCCCCGAAAAATGGTTTGTTATAGCACACGAAAATCATATAAATAGGAGGTATGCGCGCTTCGGGGCTCGTTTGACCTTGAAAATGGGTTGGACTGGCCACAAGGTCAAACCGGATGCATAGCGATGGTCTTGATGGACGTCTACAAAAATTTTTGGCATTTTTGACGTCGAAATCCGGATCACCCAAAAAAATGGTTTGCTTATAGCACACGAAAATCATCTAAATAGGGGGTATGTGCTTCAGGGCTCGTTTGACCTTGAAAATGGGTCGGACTGGCCGTAATGGCCAACTGGCTGCAAAGCCAAGGTCTTGACAGACGTCCATAAAAACTTTTGGCATTTTTGACGTCAGAATCCAGATTACCAAAAAAAAGTTTTCTGTAACACACGAAAATCGTTGAAATGGGTGTATGCAGTCTTCGGGGCTCGTTTGACCTTGAAAATGGGTCGAACAAACCGTGATGGCCAATTTTCTACATATCCAAGGTCTTGACGGACGTCCACAAAAAATTTTGGCATTTTTGACGTCGGAATCCAGATCACCCAAAAAATGGTTGGCTATAGCACACGAAAATCATCAAAATGGGGTATGCTCGCTTTGGGGCTCATTTGACCTTCAAAATGGGTCGGACTGGCCATGAAGGCAAAACGGCTGCATAGCAAATGTCTTGACGGACGTCCACAAAAAATTTTGACATTTTTGACGTCGAAATTCGGATCACCAAAAAATGGTTAGCTATAGCACACGAAAATCATCTAAATAGGGGGTATGCGCTTCAGGGCTCGTTTGACCTTGAAAATGGGTCGGAATGGTCGTGATGACAAACTGGCTGCAGAGCCAAGGTCTTGACGGAAGTCCACAAAAAAATTTGGCCTTTTTGAGATCGGAATTCGGATCCCCCAAAAAATAGTTTGTTATAGCACACGAAAATCATCTAAATAAGGGGTATGCGCGCTTCGGGGCTCGTTTGACATTGAAAATAGGTTAGACTGGCCATGAGGTCCAACCGGATGCATAGCCATGCTCTTGACGGACGTCCACAAAATTTTTTGGCATTTTTTACGTTGGAATCCAAATCACCCAAAAAATGGTTGGCTATAGCACACAAAAATCGTTTAAACGAGTTATGCGCTTCAGGGATCGATTGACCTTGAAAATGGGTCGGACTGGCCGTGATGGCCAAACGGCTGCATAGCCAAGGTCTTAAAGGAACTCCACAAAAAAATTGGCATTTTTTAAGTCGGAATTCGGATCACCCAAAAAATGGTTTGCTATAGCACGTGAAAATATTTGAAATGGTTGTATGCGCTTCAGGGCTCGTTTGACCTTGAAAATGGGTCGGATTGGCCCTGATGGCCAACTGGCTGCATAGTGAAGGTCTTGACGGACGTCCATAAAATTTTTTGGCATTTTTGACGTCGGAATCCAGATCACCCAAAAAATGGTTTGCTATAGCACACGAAAATCGTCGAAATTGGGGGTATGCTCGCTTTGGGGCTCGTTTGACCTTCAAATGGGTCGGACTGTCCGTAAGGGCCAACCGGATGCATAGCCAATGTATTGACGAACGTCCACAAAAAATTTTGGCATTTTTGACGTCGAAATTTGGATCACCCAAAAAATGGTTAGCTATAGCATACGAACATATCTAAATAGGGGGTATGCGCTTCAGGGCTCGTTTGACATTGAAAATGGGTTGTACTGGCCATGAGGTCCAACCGGATACATAGCCATGCTCTTAACGACGTTCTCAAAAAATTTTGGCATTTTTGATGTTGGAATCAAGATCACCCAAAAAATGGTTTGCTATAGCACACAAAAATCGTCTAAATGGGTTATGCGCTGCAGGGATTGTTTGACCTTCAAAATGGGTCGGACTGGCCGTGAGGGCCAAACGGCTGCATAGTCAATGTCTTGATGGACGTCCACAAAAATTTTTGGCATTTTTGATGTTGAAATTCGGATCACCCAAAAAATGGTTTGTTGTAACACACGAAAATCATCTAAATAGGCCACAAGCCAAACTATTTACTTGATTGCCCCCTTGTTCTAGTCACAGAACCACGGTTGACTCCATTGGAGTTTATATATACTAGTACTATGATGGTATTTATTTACTCTGTTAGTATCCATATACACTGACAATATCAAGCAGACACTGCCTCTTCCTCCTTGATGTCATCAGTATATATATCATATATACTCAAATTGTATCAAGAAGTTACTGAGTAGTGTTTTAACTAAAGCATTGCTTCTTCCTCTTTAATTCCGAGAATATATATATATATATATATATATATATATACTTTGATGGTATCAAGCAGTAAACACGAATTAATAGTTAAAACATAGCGGTATAAAAATAAGGGGTAGCCACTTGTAAACAATTTCTCTTTTTGGGTTTGATGGTAACAAACAGCAAATACAAATATATAGTCAAAAACATAGTGGTATGAAAGTAAGGGGTAGCCACTCGTAAATAGTTTCTCTTTTTGGGATTGACGATATCAAGCGGTAAACACGAATTAATAGTTAAACACAGCGCTATGAAAGTAAGGAGTAGCCGCTTGTAAATAGTTTCTCTTTTGATATAAGTATTCTTTTTCCTATTATCAAATTAGAATATTTATTCATCCCCCATCAAATCAAATTAGGATGGGGCAATATTTCTTTTTATAGCTTAGGTCAAACCTCTGTTGTTGTTATTTAGTTTATATCAAATAAAGTCCAAATTTAAACAAAGGTAAAAACAACAACAAACTCAATGTAATTTCATCGGTGGATTTAAAGAGGATGAAATGTATACAAATTCCATCCCTTTCTTTGTGAGACAGAGAGATTGTTTTGCTACTCGGCTCAAAAGAGAAGTCATCTTGCTTTCAAGAAAATATGATAACAATATAGCAAAGTACACAATAAACGAAGCAACAAATATTACTACACATTACATAATAAGAGACTACGCGACTACTAAATTCATGTACAAGAACTTGAAATTAATAAGCTTGGAGGAACCCTTCATTAATCATCAAATCACAATTGGTTACAGGAGACTGCCTGAACTTCAACTTCCATTGATCAACAATTACATGTAAAGTGGCCAACCAGTTGAGTTTGTACAAGAGCTTCAAGCATACACAAAGGCAGTCTCCAACTTCACAATACTAGCTTAGTGGAAAAGCAAAAATATACAGCGCATTAGATAGTGATTTGAAGCTCTTCAGAAGCACCAGCGGCAGCAGGAGAATGAGTGTGGTAAACGACCAGTTTTACGAATGTATTCTGCTTGCTTCTCTATTTTTACAGCATGTTTGTTTCTCCTGGCTTCTGCTGCTGCCAGTTTCTCTTCAGCTTTGTACCTAACCGCAGCTATCTTGTTCATTAGCTTGTCTTGTGCTCGTGCCTTCATCTTTTCCACCTCCACCTGAAAGTCAAAAATGTTTAGATTACGAAAAGTTTCTCCTCGGCTTTATGAGTCACACTTCCCTTCTTAGTTCGTCAATAAAAAACGTCATCTTTCTATAATTAGAAACAACTTAACTTTAAAATTCCTATTTAACCTTAATGAAATGATGTATAGTCACATAAATGTCTTAAGGCTTGTTTTAGACCCACAAATTTCAAAATTCTTCTTTCTTAATTTTTGTGCCTAGTTAACCGGTGTCACATTAATAGAGACGGAAGGAGTACTACTTATCCAAAAGTATTATATAAGAGGATGTGAAGAGCAGGTCTACTTTTAGCGTTCTCAATAATTTGCACCAAATCACAAAATAAATAAAAAACATGTAAGGTCAATAGAGAAAACCTGGAAGTCATCTACTTCTGGTGCAGAGAGCTTTAGAAGTTAACTTTGTACTATGTAGATGGCTGAACTAGAAGCATGATACTTGAACGTGCAAAAGATAATTAATTACCTCAGTTTTCCTCATCTCGGCTTCTGTCTTTGCTTGTTGATGATTTTCCCATGCTTGTATCTTGATTTCTTCTCGTTTAAACCTTGAGAAAGATAACCAGCAAGTCATACACTAAGTAGCAAATTGACAATTTAAATAGAGAACACATGTAAGCTTCCATTGAGAATCAGCATTGATCAACTAATTGTTGGTTCTTGATTTTTCCTCTTTGGAAAGATAAGCTTTCATCAGATTATGCTCCAGAGCATACATAAAGAGAACCCAACACCATAAAGAATAACATGCAGCAGAAGTTGACGAGCATCTTAGCGATAACTACAAAGTTGAATAAGCTAGCAAATCTTTTTAAAAAAATATATATAACAGGATCAATGTCATTAATGGGGCTCCAAGGAGGTCGCGTGAATAACCTAGCTTGACTGGTAGCTATATTTTAAACCTCAACCAAAAGGCTCAAGAACTAAAATAAGATTTCTAATATCCCCGAAATTACCTGGCTAAGTGCTTCGCTTTCTCTGCATCCTCCCAAGCAGCTGCGCGTGTCTCAGTAACAGTGGTATTTGGTTGGTCTTGCTTATCAGTTTTCAGCAAGCTGGATGCATTTCTATCCTCACCATCTTTGCTAGCCCAGGCAGCTATATTCATTTTACCAAGTTTAGTTCCAAGTGCCATGATTTCTCTTCGAGTTTTCAACTGTAATTCCTGGTCAGACAATGCATTTGTATGAGCATCCAAATTATCATTTGAAGGACGAAAAGGTGAGGAAGCTGGTGCAGCTCCCGGAGTTGATGGCCGAGAAGAAGTTGGGCTGCGAGTAGGTGTAGTTGCTCTCACAGGTGTCCCAGTTCTGGAAGGTTCCTGGCTTGCAATTGGAGTCATTTCGGTGCCCATATCTCTCATCGAGACTGACCTTGCAGTTGATGGTGGGGGGATAACAGTCGCACTATGTATAGAAACAGACGAATCATGACGGCTCAGATTTACTGCAAAAAATATAATTGTTTATCATTTTGCATTCAAAAGTTCATCGTATTTCAACAATTTACTGTGGACGATCATGAATCAAGCACGACGTAGAGGCACCATGAATTGTAAATATTTTCGTTGGAGGAAGGGTGTGAGTTGGTGAAGAAAATGAAAAGATGTTCCCTTTTTCCGGAGATGAGAGATTGTACGAGTTTTCTGATCATTGTTATTTAAAGGATGTAAATCTATTGTGATAGAACTTATGGGAATAAAAGCAACATCTATTGAAGCTTTTAATATTCTAGAAATGTTGGAACTAGGCGATTTCTTTTTTTGTACTGGTTATGTAGACCTTACCCTACTTTTATAGGGTAGGAAGACTTTCCGAAAAGACCCTAAGCTCAAAAGAGAAGCTATTAAAGCATGGTTGCGAGAATATACCAACTAAATATAGTATAATTACGTAAGAAAATCATGATATTATACTCACTTATTTGCTAATACTTTGTTGTCTCGCAGGCTCAAATAGTTATTGTAAATGCCATAGGAAGTTCACGTGAGTCAAGAGTAAGGAGAAAAAACATATTTCCTCATCTTTTAGTGAGATGGCTTAACTTGGGAAATATAAACTGAAGATCAATTTGAAATGAGTAGTTTCAATTATCATGATGATAAAAGTCAGGACCCAAGAGTCCAAAAGTTACATACATTTTCCAATTACTGCGAGTGTGATAACTCCATGCAACTTCAGACCTTTTAAGTAACATTAAGCATGTAGTGCAAACTGCAAAGACATTTACTAAATGATAACATACTCTTCCTCCCCAATAGATTTCGTCTTGCTCTTTTTCGGCCAACTAGTATTATCTACTTTACTTAAAAAGATACTTCCCTTTATAATCCCTCCTTGAATACATTGGTACATATGCTAAATCATGCAATGCAGGGTTAAAAAAGAAGTAAACTTTGAGAAAAGGGAGATAGAGTTAAAGAAGAAATATATCAGCCTAATGTAAAGAACTTAAAATATAAATGTGTGTCAGCCTAATGTGAAGAGTATAATAATAAAAAAGCAAAACTATGCAGCTATAAGGAGGTATACTAGCACTTCTAGAAATGTTCAGCCGTGAGGCCAGCTAAATCTTCTATGTGTACCACCTTGCTGTCAACCATTGAATGTAGAATCTAAATCACACACTTTTACATTTTCAATAAGATTTCAGCTATTCAAGAACATTTGAATGCTTCAAGTATTAATACTTTTTTATCAGTGCTCCAAGTATCTATATTTGTTTTGATAAACAACAACACATCCACTGTAATGTGTAATCCCACAAGTGGGGTCTGGGGAGAGTAGGATGTACACAGACCTTACCCCTGCCTTTGTGGGGTAGAGAGGTTGTTTCGATAGACCCTCGGCAAAAAAGGAATGTATTGAAGCATATTTGCTTTGATATTCTCAACAATTATTAGACTAAACAATATTCTGTGCATCATCTCATTAAGTGAACAAAATGTATCGTGAATGCATGGAGGAAGCCAAGCATTAAAAATTGAATGACAAATGAGACAACAACAACAACATAGCCAGTATGCCAAATGAGACAGCTATTGAATATAATTGTACTTCTAAATAGAAGGTGCTTCACAGAATGCAAACTAGAAAGTACACTGAAATTAGCAATACTACTATTTCTCATTCTTGGACTCAAACTTATATCAAGAATAGACAGAAATCTTTTCCAGCAACATGTAAAAGGATTAAAGTGAAATTAGTCTTACTTGCTGATTGTCCGATGGATGTTTCAATCATGAGCATTGGCTTAACATATGATTCAGCAATTGGGTGTGGCTCAGCCTCCCAACTCACGAACTTCTGAACACCGCTGTCCTTTGGTTGGCCTGAGTCTATCTGTTTTGTGTCAACAGGCTCCTCATAAGGAACCAATTTTTGATCAGGAACCTCAACTACAACTTTTGTAGATTGTTGTCGATAGCCATATCCAGAATGACTAGTCTTGCGAGATCCAACAACTTGACTGCTCTGCCCAGTCTTCGGCCTGTTAGATGTTGGGCTTGCTATCCATTTTTGCGCATCATCCCATTTGGACGGGGCAGGTTTTGAGAAATGAGCTAGGGGCACTCTCTGTGCTGCCCGTTCAGCCTTTTGAAATTCAAAGAGAGGAGATACAGTACCAACACTATCGATTCCACCATCACAGTCCAAACTACTGTCATCTTGAGACCTAATTCTTGTACTAACCAAAGATTGATCTTTGATTCTCGTGTCATTAATCATCTCCAATGACATTGATGAATCAAGTGCTAAGGAAGTCGAACTCTCAGGAACAACACTTACAACATTTACATCTTTGTAATTCTCCAAATTACAACCTGGCAAGCAAAAAAATGTACTTGCATTCAATCTAACATAGTGTGTAAACAAGGTAAGCATTAACACAAGAAATGAAGGTATCCATAAGTACAAAATCTCATTGCACAATATAGATAACGTCAATGCATTACTATACCGGATTCATGGATCTCAGGCAAATGGGATCTCAAGGACACAGTAGCAGATTCAAGCTCTTGATCTTCTACTACGTCATCCTTCCCTTCTTGTTTCCTCTTCTTTTCTGCTCCCAGTAGCATAGACCTCAGTTTTCTAGGAGACAGCTATAACAAAACAAACAAAACCGAAGGGGAAAAGAAAGCTTAATTTCCTAAATGAGAAACGGGGTATACATAGAAAGTGATGGCTCTGCATAACTATATGCAGATTCAATGGATCAAAAGTTGATTTCTTTCTTAAACAAAAGGAGAATAATACAAGAAGTAGAAAAAAAAACCAACAGTAACAAAGTAGGAAAAGTCCAATTGTGATGAAAACGATGTATCAATGCGTCATTCTCTCTACTTCTTTTTGCCTTGAAAATCAAAACACACATTGGGCAAAGAGAAAAAGTAAAACATCTTACTTTCAACCCAGATCACAAAGTGAATAAGAACCAAATTAACAACTAAACAGTACCTTTGCACCCTACTCCATTATCACTGACACTGTAAGATTCTCAAGCTCACAATGACAATGAAAACTAAAACCCCAATTAGAGAAAGATAAACAGCCAAAAATTTACTTTCAACCACGACCACAAAGCATTAAGGAACTAAATTAACAACTAAGCAGTACATAAGCATCTGTTATTGTACCTACTCCATTATCACTCACTCTTCAACATTAACAAGCTCATAATGTCAATTTTGCCTACAAACTTAAAGTCACATTGCGGAAAGAAAAATTAAAAAGAGAAACTTTTATTAAAATGGTAAGCACCCTCACCTTGGGAAGGGGCAAAAAAAACCCAAATCACAAAGCGAATAAAGAACCAAATTAACAATCAAGCAGTACATAACGCATCAGGGTTTCTACCCCTACTCCATTGTCACTCACCCTGCAAGATTCTCAAACTCACCATGTCAATTTTGCCTTAAAATTGAAAACTCCACAAACCAAAAAGAACAAAAAAAGCTTTTTTCTTTGAAATCGGATCACAAAAGGGGTTGCTCAGATGATAAACACCCTCCACCTCCCACCCTGAAATCATGTGTTCGAGTCACCAAAAGAGCAAAAAGCTCGGAGCTTGTATAAAGAGATGAAAAAAGAATAAGAACGCAGATCAGAAAACAAATTAAAGAAGCAAACTAACATCTAACCAGTGCTTATACTCAAATCCTACTCCATTGTCACTCACCCTGCAAGATTCTCAAGCTCACCATGTCAATTTTGCCTTAAAATTGAAAACCCCATATACCAAAAAAACAAAAAAAATCCTTTTGCTTTCAACCTAGATCACAAAAGGGGTTGCTCGGATAATAAGCACCCTCCACCTCCCACCCTAAAATTGTATGTTCGAGTCACCAAAAGATCAATAAGGTGGGAACTTGTATAAAGAGATGAAAAAAGAAACAGAACCCAGATCAGACAACAGATTTAAGAAGCAAATTAACATCTAACAGTGTTTATACTCAAATCCTACTCCATTGTCACTCACCCTGCAAAATTCTCAAACTCACATTGTCAATTTTGCCTTAAAATTGAAAACCCCACATACCAAAAAGAACAAAAAAAGCTTTTTGCTTTGAACCCAGATAACAAAAGGGGTTGCACAGATGTTAAACACCCTCCACCTCCCACCCTAAAATCATGTGTTCAAGTCACCAAAGGAGCAAAAAAGTGGGAGCTTGTATAAAGAAATGGAAAAAGAAAAGGAACCCAGATCAGAAAACATATTAAAGAAGCAAATTAACAACTAATCAGTGTATATAATCAAATCCTACTCCATTATCACTGATTCTGCAAGATTTTCAACCTCAAAAAGTGAAATTTTTACCTGTAAATTTCTCTTGTCGATTCTTTCATACTCCATAAAGGATGATTTCAAGCTTGTGGGTGTGACAGTATCTCTGAGAAAAGAGTGAAATTGTAGTGATGAATCTTGTCAACATCCAAATGGACAAAAAGAGAAATGAAGAGTGTGTAGTCCCTACACTTTCTACTCAAATCTTTTTGACTGAAAATTATGATTAAAAAGGAAAATTTTCAAAGATCCTATTTTTACATAGTTTTAAATGGAGTTATTATCAAATAAGATATTAGATCTTTTTGTCTTGTGTTGAGCAATAAATAATCTTTTGACCAAATAATGAACGGTATAATGGTCATGATAAATCAAAAAATTGAAAAATCGAATCAAATCGCGTAGAAGGAAATATCCTACAATTAGGAGCGCATATTTGCTATTTGGGTTTGAATAGTTTGATATCGATAATTGGAAAGTAGTAAAATATCTATAATTAAGGGTGGATGTTTGATAGTTCTAAAACATCGATTTCGATAATTTAATAATTGGTAACTGAAAGTAGTAGATACCAAAAACAAAAATATCTGCAATTAGTGTCACGACCTAAATCGGGCCGCGACTGGCACCCACACTTACCCTCCTATGTGAGCGAACCAACCAATCTAAACCTTAACATTTCAATATAATATCAACAGAAAGTAATGCGGAAGACTTAAACTCATTAATAAAAACCAATTCAATAACTTCTAAAAACTCAACAACTATTATTATCCCCAAAATCTAAGCGTATCTAAGAAGCTAAAATACATAAAAAGCTAGTCCATGCCGGAACTTCAAGGCATCGAGACATGAAGAGGAAGATCCAGTCCAAGCTAGAAGCATTAGCTCACCCTGAAATCCGGAGTAATGAAGACTGCTAGAGTTGCGGTTGAGTTGAAGACGACGGCACGTTTGCTGCACTCCACAATTTAACAAAAAGAAACATACAAGTAGGGATCAGTACAAAACACGGGTAATGAGTAGGTATCATCGGTCAACTCAAAATAGAAAACAGTATATATCAGATAACATCATAAAATCAACTAATATCCTTAGCATGCAGCATTTACAGTTACCATAACCGTTGGTTACAACACCAAGCACATCAATGAGGACTCACGCCTCCTCATCATACTCATTCGGGAATTAGGTTCATTAGATTGAATATATTATCATCTTTCAAGATTCATTATCTTTATTCCCCTCGTGTCGGTACGTGACACTCCGCTCCTCATATACTATCCTGGTGTCGGAACGTGACACTCCGATCCTCAAATACTATCCTGGTACTGGAACGTGGCACCCGATCCCCTAATCTCACTACTTTAGTTCATCAAGCCTTCTTTTATACCAAGGCATCATCATTAACAAAGTAGATTAGGGTTCTCTTTTTCAAGATTTAGGATTCAATAGCTTCATCATGCTTATTTTATCACAATTATATAATCACATTCATGCAAGCATACAATTAAGCATATAGAAGGGTTCACAACACTACTCAATACATATCATTCGCTATTTAGAGTTTACTACGAATAGTGTAAAAACCATAACCTACCTCCACCGAAGATTAGTGATCAAGCAAGCAAATTCCCCAAAGCTTTGTGTTTTCCTCTTCTCGTTCGATCCTCTCTCTCTTTGTTCTTTCTATTTTCTTTATTCAAACCCTCTTTCTTTTACCCTAATTAGCATATAATTAAGAATAAAAGATGGCAATAATAACCCACTAATTTACTCAAGGTTACCTCTTTTAACCCCCAAGTAATTAGATTTATTAACATTAACCCACTAACTTTATAATTAAAGCCGGAATAGTCCAAAACGCCCCTTAAATTACTTAACAGAAATCCAACCCAGTCTGGGATTACGCAGCCTGTGACGGGCCGTCGTGCCTGCGACGGTCCGTCCTGCTGCTCCGTCACAGAGTTCAGAGACTCAATTCTCTGAAGAGTCTGTGACGGTCCGTCATGTCATTCCGTTACGAAGTTTAGAGAGTCGAGTACCCATTTTTCAGAATTTCTAAGTGTTTTGAAACGAGACCCCTCGACGGTCCGTCGTGCTCATGACGGTCCGTCGTGGGTTCCGTCGTCTCAGCCTGTTTTTCCAGAAATAAAATCTGTTGCTCAAAACGACTAAACAGGTCGTTACAATTAGGAATGGATGTTTGCTATTCACTTTGATCACATTGATATTTTTAAAAGTTTGATTTCGATAATTTAGAAAGTTAAGTCCGATAATCAAACTTTGATATGAGAGTTTGATAATTACGTATTGAAGAAAAAAGATATATTTATAATTTGTTCAATATTTCACATGTTAGCTTTTAAAAGAATCATAAATGTTCACTTTCAAGTGTTATTATTACGAAACATATCAGAATTGATCAGTCAAGAGATATGTATCACTCACTAGCGATACATATATATGTGTGTGTGTGTGTGTGTGTGTGTGTGAGAGAGAGAGAGAGAGAGAGCTAACAATTCACAACGGATGGACGCTGATATGTCCAAAGTTTCACTTCGATATTAGATAAGTTTTGATCCCATTTTTTTTTAGAAAATCTAAAACTTTCAAAGTTCGATCCAATATAATTTTTATGTGACTTTTCGCATATTACAATTTTTGTTCTATAAATTAACTCTTTTAGAAAAGTTTCTTATGTGCTACTCCTACAACTTATATGTAGGAGCTCTAAATTGGCAAAATAATGTTATAATTTGTGGCGAAAGTTGTTAGATCTTCCTTATGCAGTCACGAGGATAGATAAGAATTCAATTACTAAAACATGACCGTTATCTCTATTTATATAGCTGAATTGTTGATTTATTTATAACTTGCTTTTAATTTAGGATTTTTTTGTGTTAAAAAAATAAATTGATTGTTACATTAGATTTTGTTATAATTTTCATTATTAAGATAATACCCAAAAAAAAATAATTAATTACATTGCTTGTGTGTTTCTTTTTTATTCTTTGTATTTGGTTATCATCCTTAAGAATGGATTTGATAGAATGATTACTCTTTCTTTTTATTATTTAAAGTTGAAGTATATAGAATTAGATTAATGGTACGTTTGATTAACATATCATCCTTGGGTTTCACCGATGTGATTGCATCTCGATAACGATCTTGAGCTTGTCTAATAATTATCATTGCCATCATTTCTCCTCCATTTTCTAATTTTTTTTCTCCGATTATGATGGAAAATAACTAAGTGAAAAAATTTTCGACGGATGTTGTTTTGTCTTCTTTTTAAAAATATATTGATCCTCATTAACTACTGGCCAAAGTTTATAATAAATAAAGATTTACATACAAATTTTGAATCCACTATGGTATGTGTTTGAACTCTGTATTATACTTAATCATATTTATTATATCATCATTAAGCACGAACTACCATAGGAAAATTATCTGAATGGGCAACTTCAATAAATGGTTTGACTTTTCGAGTTTGTGGTGATAGACTAATTAATTATAGTTTTTAATATTCCAAGAATGTGTAGGATTAACCACTTAAACTAGTAGTTTTTATTGTGGTTTTGATGTTTTGACATAATGAAAGACGAAAAGATAGAAAGGAAGGACCACTATAATGAATAAGGTCATGTAATAGATATACCCTAATAAAATTTAAATAAAATTACATACTAATATCAATAATTATTTAATAAAAGGATTTTTTTATTAATCACATAATTTTATAAAAGAGAAGCTATGAAAAATATTTAGATTAAATATGAAATTCATTAAGAAATCAATATATGTGAACTTTGGAAAGTTAAACATTAAAATGAAATTTCATAGAGAAAAAGAGAAGGTAATAAGAATTGGGTAATACTACAACTACTTAAATAAAAACTTGTAATCATTTTTTTCTTTTTTATTTGAGCTTTTTTTTAGTATTATTTATATATATTTTATGTAAACTTGAAATCTGATCGTTCTTTTATGCTTATTTGTAATCTTTTTAATTAAATTCTTAGTATAATTTTTTGGCAATGTGTAACTCAGATTGTTGTTAATAATTATTATTCATGACTATATAGTTAGTCAACACTATTATTAATCATTATGCACAATTAAATAATATTTTGACCAATAATGAAGAATAGGGTGTTCTAATTAATATAATGTATTTCAAATGAGAAAATGATCAAAATGGCCCTATGGGTTTTTTTTTTTTGAAGTGGTATGGTCCTTGATATATATTTTCATCGTCTTATTTTATTTTATGTGAGATAGTTTGATTCGGTACAAAATAAGAAAAAAGCAAGATAAATTTGTAGTCTAAAAAGGATTATCAATAAAATTGGTATTTGTGTGGTTATAAATCATTTGATTAAGGATAAAATTGATATTTTAAAATTAAATTGTTACTTAATATAGAATTATGTTTTGAGACTGATTAAAAAAGAAAGTAAGTAAGAAATACTTAATTGATTTAATTTTCCTTTGAAAAAAAAAAACTGATTCAAACTGAACCACGAATATCCCACTTCATTATTAAATTGAAGTGGTGTTTGGATTAATTTATTTACGAATACACGTTAAAACCTTAATGTTCATCTCTAGTTATTTAACAATATATAATAAAAATAAAAATTGAAACTTATCTTCTTCAAGAGTTGTGGAGATGTATAAAATATTAAAATCAACGTTTTGTAAGATTTAATTTCTCAGTAAAACTAGGGAAAATAAACAAGTACCCGCCCCCTCAACCTATGCCCGAAATCCCAGAGACACACTTATATTATATTAATGTCCTATTACCCCCTGAACTTATTTTATAAGTAATTTTCTACCCCTTTTCGGCCTACATGGCACTAGCTTGAAAAAAAATCAATCAATATTAGGCCCACAAGATAGTGTCATGTAGGACGAAAAAGGGTAAAAAATTATTAATAAAATAAGTTCAAGAGAGTAATAGGACCTTAATATAATATAAGTGTGTCAGATTTCGGGCATTGTGCATTATCCCATAAAATTAAGATACAACATCATTAGATTTGTCAATTTTTTGCTTGTATAAAGTGTTTGTGCTGTTTTAATTCAGGATTCGATTATGTCTTATATATATATATATATAAAACGTCTTTAAATTATATCTTATATATAAATTAAAGTTCTACACTTTTCTATCTCATTTCGATAAAGAATTCACCTATGTCTTCTCATCTCTGTCATTGAG